GCACTATAATATAGATCAGAATCGAGTGATGAAGGCCCCATATTCTAGATTTGAGGGCGAATTCAGAAAATGTGTCAAAAGACGAACCACGGACCAGAATTTATTATTTAAAGCTAACCAGCGACCAATAACCAGTATGGCAAGCTACAGTGGGATCTTTCTATTCGCGGACACATCGTTCCTATTCTTGACTTTTGAGAGAAGCCAATAGAAGCTGTGCAGATAGAAAGTGGCCGTGCAGGATAAACGTGTGCCTGGTATGGTATGCCTGCAGCCTATCGCGTCTTCTGCTGGATGCTAGATGTCAATGCAGAGGGCACTAGAGAAGTGTGTCAATGCCGAGGGCACTACTGGAGAAGTGTGGAAGCCTGGGGTTCTCAGGATCCGGAGCACGTCTTGTAAAGAGCGGTTTAATAAATATTTTATATATTCAAGTCACACTCATACTCATGGTCTGCGTGAAGGAGCGAAACTACCTCGCCGAAGGGGTGTTACAGTAGACTCGAAAGAGTTGAAATGATCTGTTAGATAGAAGATAAGTATACGCGTCGGAGGATTTGTGGCAGGTTGAGGTTCTTGAGCTCGCCGGTCAAGGCCTTACTTGAACGCCGAGATCGGTAATAGGTCTTGGTATCCGGGGGTGACCTTTGCCAGCTTTTGCGTAGGATAGATGCTCCAAGCAAAAGTCAACCATATCTACTCACAGCAAAGTATGGATTGCGGAGGTGATTTTTTGGGGAAACCAAGCCTAGGTTTTAAGCCTGACGATCTTTTGAGTTTGGACGCATGTGTACAACGAGGGGTCTGACACGAGAATAGATGTGGCGGCTAGGAACAGGTTCGCTGGCCGAAGATCCTAAGGCCTGAGAAAGCAGTCTTGGCGTACCAGTAAAGCGAGAATAAGTTGATGATAAGTAGTCATTCGAGACCATGTCTTGATAAAGATAATACATTTGGTGTCTGCGAGACAGATTGTAAGTGAAATGGACTGCGACAGTTGGGAAAAGTAAAGGAAGAAACAATAAAAGCGAATGACGACAGCGCCCACGTGACTAAATAAACATAGTAGCGAAGCTGCTAACTATGGAGAGTAGCTAGTTTGGAGAATTTCATAGTGGAATTTCATTCTGTACGGAACATAGTGGAGGAATAGTATTAAACAGGTGGTCAGGGAGATACCTCGCACATGGAACATGGCCAAGTAGTAGGGTTGAATCTCCGCCTGCACACGCCGAGCGCTCCTTATCCCCGTCTATAACTTCGATCTCGTCTGGTCTGCAGCTCTCCAAGATGCGCTCGACGTCCAAACCGTTGCCGCCGTCTCCGCCATCCCCGCCACGGTCCGCAACCCCGATTTCGTCCGACAGCGAGCCTGGCAGGAGTGGTCACGCAGAGCTTGCAGCAGAGAGTGCAATCCCGTCGTCCCCCATGTTCTCTCCCGGCTTCAACGACCCTTTGCTGGTGTCGTCCCCATCGCGCCAGGCATCCTACGTATCCTCTCCCTTGAACCCAAAACACCCCAGCTTCGGTCGGCCAGAATCCAGAGGAAGCTCGGGCCGCCTCTTGAATGCCTCGTCAGACGAAAGTGCCCCAGGCTCCGTTGGATATCCATTCGCAGGACACGCTGCCCGCGACGCCAGCACGCGCGGGAGCATGCTCCTCTATCGCCTCGCCTCCGACGCGGATCCATGGGACGACGGCCTCACCGATATGCCATTGCCGCCTCCCTCCCGCTTCTCCAGTGCCCGTTTCAGCATCGCATCCGACTCTGGCGCATCGACGTTCTCCGCCAACTCAGACTCCAAATATCCTACGCCCAACGAGAAAGTCATCGGCAAGGGCGCCTTCTTACCCTATTTGTACGATCCCTCGGAGGACCAGGACAGTCCGCCAGATGCAGACGATATCCTGCACGACCCCGACGTCACAGAACCCAAAACGCTCCTTCGCGGCTTCAACCTGCGCGGGATAATCAACATAGTCACGCTCACCACGCTCATCGTCGCGATAATATGCCTGTTTACGCTCTACCCGATCGTCACATTTTTCCGCAACCAGGCGCACAATCGTGCCATCGGTAACAACATCCAAGTAAACTCCACAGGCCAAGTAGCCAAATTCGTGCATGTGCCGGAATTGATAGATGGAACAACGCCGGAGACCGCCAAGTCGAGGACGGGCTGGGATGGATTCGAGTATGACTTGGTGTTTTCGGATGAGTTCAACGAGGAGGGAAGGACGTTTTCCGCGGGTGATGATCCATATTGGGAGGCGGTCGATTTGTGGTATGGCGCGACGCAGGATTTAGAGTATTACACACCAGGTGAGTCCCCATGTCTCGTACGCCTTGACTTCCGCTGACGCCACACAGAGCAAGCAACGACGGTCGGCGGTTCATTACGGCTACGTCTGGACCAGGCAGACCCTGTGACCAACCACGGCTTGAACTACAAGTCCGCGATGCTGCAGACGTGGAACAAGTTCTGCTTCACGCGGGGATACATCGAGGGTGAGTTACCTTGCGGTGTTCTCTCTCCAGCTTTATACTTACCACTCCTGCGCTTAGTGAACGTGTCTTTCCCGGGTACCAATAGTGACGTTTCCGGATACGTACGTATAGCATACTTATGTTAATATTGGCATTATGAGCGTTTCGCTGACCTCACTTCCAATTCCAGTGGCCTGGCGTATGGACAATGGGCAATCTAGGACGCCCCGGATACGGTGCCAGCACCGACGGCTTATGGCCCTATTCGTATGTCTTAAACTCATTCCTGTCTTGCGTGCACTCAGATTATCCGCGTAGGTATACCGCCTGTGACGTCGGCACCTTCCCTAACCAGACCAACAAGGATGGTTTGACGCCTGAAGCGGCCGCCTACAGCCTGTACAGTCGCAGCAAGTATAATTACGAACTGAGCTGGCTTCCCGGCCAGCGCGCCTCGTAAGTCCTATTCCTAACCCACACCCTCCTTATCAATGTAATGACATTGCCTTTTCCACCAGCGCCTGCTCCTGCCCAGGTTCAGACCACCCCGGGCCAGACGTGACAGTCGGCCGCGGCGCCCCCGAGATCGACGTGCTCGAGGCGCAGAAGAACAAGCTCGGCTCGGGCGGGAAGGTCTCGCAATCCGCGCAGTTCGCACCGTTCAACCACGACTATGCGTCGCAGAACGACTCGAGCGTCGTCACATGGTATGACCTCGATAAGACGAAGCAGAATACGTACCAGGGCAGTGCATTGTGGGTTGTGCCAGATATAAGACATAATAGGATGGCTACTGACTAATGTGTTGGATGAATAACAGACAACAAGCCGTCACTGCACTGACTACTGTGCCGGATCGAGCATACGCTGGGACTGGAGCTGAGTACGTCACTATGGGTGTGTTTCTCTTTCTTCGCTCTTCTTCTCTAGACCCGCTGCTTAGTGAATTACCTTCCTTTCAGGCTTCGAATACTGGGGAAACGTGAACGACGCAACAGACGGGTTCATCACGTGGTTCGTCGACGGCACGCCGAGCTTCACGATGCGCGCCGGCGCGGTGGGACCAGATAACCAGACGATGATCGATCAGAGACTGATACCGAGGGAGGCGATGAGCATTGTGCTGAACTTGGGGATGTCAGGTGCGTTTTTCATTTTATTTCATTGCGTCATACATTTGGGCGGCTTTGCTTACGCGTTGGTTGTTTGTCATTCTTGTAGAATCATTCCAAACCGTCGACTTTGACGCTTTAACGTTCCCGAGCGACTTCCTGATTGATTATGTTCGTGTATACCAGCGGAAGGGCGAGCTGAACGTGGGGTGCAGTCCGCCGGATTACCCGACTAAGGAGTATATTACAGACCATATGCAGGCGTATACTAGTGCGTGTTGACTCCTTCCATCCTTCCTTCGTTGTCTTTGCGGGTGTTGACTGACGATGACTCTTTGTAGATGCGAATCTGAGTTTCTGGTCAGGCGACGCGAGCACGGGAGATCGCGCGGGGTACTCGTGGCCGCTGAACTCCAAAGTATGTTGTTTAACTAGCGCTTTTCATCACCTCATTGCATTGCTAACGAATACACAATTTATCTCTTAGTACGACGGTTGTTAGCCTCTATCACAGGCCCGCGTCTACAAAACCCTCGGCGTACTAATCCCCTCCGACCCGTCATGTCCCTTTAACTTTCCTTCTTTCGTCCTACGTCCCCCCTCTCATATTCTGTAGTTTTCCCTTGCTCTGCTCTGGACTGACTCATACTCTATACTCTATACTCTACTCTATCTCCCATGGACTCCGCACTTCACTTCATCTCACTTTATTCTTTCTCAGACTCAGACTCCCTGCATGTTCTTCCGCACGAACCTCAGACTTTCCTATCCTATTTCATTTTATTCATACCGCCTACATTCATTTAACCCTTGCATTGCATTCTCTTTTTCTATTCTTCTCCTTTCTTTCTTTTCCTTTCTTTATTTCTTCGGCCCGCGCCTTTACTTTATTGTCCTCCCTGATTTGATTCATGTGCTGCACGCCGCCATGCCATGCCATGCCTTACCCCTAGACGTACGCCATTCCATTCCACTGGATTTTTTTTTTTTTGTTATCGTTATGCCGTACCGTACCTCACTTTACGAATGGGTGGATTTGTCGTATGAAGCCTCTGTGGTGATGATGATGACGATGAAGAGCATTTCATGGTGGCGATGGGCTGCGGAAATTACATCCGAATCCCCCCCTCCCCCTTCTCCTTTCTCCCCCGTAAAGTAGTATTTTGATCATTGTGATACAAGTATCTTTTTAATAGCGCAGTAATATACCTGGCGTTTGGATTAGAAGTGATTGGGATGAAAGGCCTGAGTGTGGGGGAAATGTTAAAGTGATGCTAGGTGTGACTCCGATGAAGACTCTTGGGATGAAACTGACGACGTGCCGGCAAAATTGTTGAACCATCACTGTTTCAGTTTCAGGATTGGTGAATCAGCTCGGGATGCGAATTTATCAAAAATTCTAACCCGAGCGAGAGTCGAACTCGCGACCATTGCATAGCTTGCATGGATGTTTACCCTATAAGTACAATGCTCTAACCAACTGAGCTACCGGGTTAAAGGTTTTGACCTTGCGAGGGCTCTTTGCTTCAGTTGGGTTTGGTGAGTTTGATTGGACTGTTTATTTCTGCTTTGCGTGAAACTGTCTTTGGTTGACGGTGTCTATTGGGATGTTTGAATAGATGGAATGAAATGATGAGGGATGCTTGAGACGAGTGGAGTAAATTGATTAATAATATTCTAAGCTCTTGGACCAGGAAAAATAATGGGTAAGTTTTAGATTTAATTATCTCTCGGAAAATAGGCTGCATAAAGTGTCAGTTCTTTAGTTCTCTGTGGGAGTAAATGAGATATCTAATCCAGCGAAGAATCGAGCAGCGTGATTGACCAAAATGCAGTAAAGCGAATCCGCCGCCTACATTTCGCTTGACATAATGCTTTTTTTGGGAGCAAGACTGATTCCATATACGATATACTAAAACGATTTATCATCTCAAACGAGCACATCAAGTTTTTCATGAACCAAGCCTGTGCCACGTACGACCAAAGTGCCGGTCACCAAACCCCCTCTGAGTCGTCCGTAATACTTAGTGACTTAATTTCGCAGAATCTCCCTTATATTTAGAGAATTTGAAAGCCTGATATGGGGCTTCAACCCGCGATTATCAGAGTTCAAAAGTTGGGCTTCACGTTGTGACTCCACCGAGACTTTACCGTGCGGGCCTACCGTCCGAGGGTAGGTTTCAGTTCGCATCATTTCTAGCTTTCGACCTAATCGAGACTCAGCTCAGTTGGCAGGAAGTTGTGATAAGGTTTTCCACAACTTGAACTTGACTTGTTAATTTTTAGATGTGGTAATTTGCAAGATGGACGTAACCTTTAGTCAGTGTGATGGAAAATTCTCAGCTTATAGTACCAGATGCAACTATACTATGTGAATGCTAGCCACTTTGGTAACCCGCAAGATGGACATAACTTTTAGTCAGTGTGATGGATTCTCAGCTTATATTACCAGATGCACCTATACTATGTGAGTGCTAGCAACTGCCATCCGGGGGTCGCGATGTTCAAGTGACTCCTCCATTTGATATCAATCACTTGATAGTTAACTATCTTCGGCACCTCAGAAGTAGGATTCTTCCTTTTCGCCCGACTAAGTAAGTACGCTACTGATTGATACTTTTGCTACTTTAACTAGACCAAATCTTCAGGATCAGACTGCCAGCTACTGTCGTTGAGTCCTAGGACAAGACGAGATAACGCGATGCGTGCATGCATCTGGATTCTAATGAGACTAGTGATGGACCTTAGAGGTATGTGGTAATTCCCAAGGTGCGATCTATTCGTGGGTGCAACTGAGATACTATATATTTTATATTTTATATAAGTAACAGGCCACTGATTACTCATTATCTTCTACTGCGACGCGGGTCGCCTATCTTATGCTTCAAGAAATGAGTAGCTTTGTGGATATCGTTGAAAATAGAAAAATCACAATTGTAAGTTCATAGATTGCTCAGTATATCTCACAAGCTTGGGTTTCATCACATTCTCTATTTCAGTACTGCGATTGTACGCCATTTCCTACTTTCCCATTGAAAGCCCCCCAGAAACACTAAACGAGTATGGCAGTGTGCTCCGCGATATTATTGGTCTGTTATTATCTTTATATTATTGATTAATTTTATAACATTCTTATAGCTATACGACTACATGCTGTCGTTCGATAATGAGCGACAATTAATCTGGTTGTCGCGGTGGAGTTTAGGGAAGACAATTTATCTCATTGGCCGATATCCGGTTATGCTAGACGTTTTATTCACACTATCGGGTTTGAAAATTACTTAAGACACCATTTATAACTTAACAATTATCTTTCAGTCTATTTCTATCCTGCAACAAATCCCAAAATATGCGGGTTACTGTTCAAAACGGCAGCAGGTATCCTGATCTACTTCCTTCTCTTCAGGCTGTGCCCTAATTAATAACACATTTAAACCAGTTCTCAACGGCTTAGGACTCTTTTATTATGAAGGTCAGTACTGTAGCATTATGCCTAGCGTATGCTTAACTATAATCCAGCCATTCTCGCTCTTCGAACCTGGTCCATATGGGAGAGACGTAAACTGATCGCGATACTACTCTTGGCCACCGGCCTCCTTCTGGGTACTACCGGATTATTAGCATTGTTTTTTGCTTTAATTCAACTTCAGTGTAAGTCCTATTACTTCTCTTCTCCAATCAGAAGGCATTTCTGACATTAAGGCATTATCTTGGTCACTCTCAGTCTCTCCCGATGGACCCTTTAGATGTCTGCTACTAAGCAACAGTTTCGATTCCATATTCATATTGATTCCCTATATATGCATGCTCGTCTCGGAAACCAGTGTGTTGCTTTCTGCCTCTATTGATGGACTAATTAACTGTTATGTGAATCTATCTTGTCAGTCATTCTTGTGCTTACTCTCGTTAAATTGGGAAAGCAAGTTTATGGATATTCCTCTGTCACCTTTGCGAGGGCTCCAAGGACATTGTCTGTCTCCTCAGTTTCCGTGACTTTATTTAACGATGGTAGGTGACTATGGAAATAATAGAGATTTTTTAATTTATTATTCCTTCATTGATAGGAGCCATATTTTATTTATATACATTTGGTGAGTGTATGATTAAGCTAAATACCTGACTGCCTCATTAACATATCTTGATGATTCTAGGAATATCCTTATTCAATATCCTTATGCTTATTCTGACAGTGAGTTATTTCATCATTTGTTCTTCCAGTTTGGGCTATTTAATTTGAACTATTCTCAGGTGTCCAGACCCCTTCTGCTGTATGACATGCCATTCATAACATCGTTCATCATTTTTCTAAATAATTGCATTGCCACATAGATTGCAACGTGTATTTCACTCCATATTCCTGACGCAGATACTCCTAAACTTGAGGAAGGCGGCGAAGCCTGAAGAAGATATAACGGATAGTTTTTTTTAGCAGATTGGCACCTCAGTATTTCACTTTAGAAGTATAGGAGTACAAAAGGTATAGTCTCTGGCTTCATTTAGATGCAATATTTGAATAATCGGATGTGATAGAAGACGAAGAATACATTTACTTGGTAGGAGTTAGAGGAGAGGGTATAGCGGTTAGGACGTTTAGTTAAAGGGATAATCGACTAGAACCGATAAAGAATAAAATCCTGACGTCTGATGTATGCTTCGCAATTGACATCATGACAATAACTACATAATCCAGTGATAAGTGGAGACGCACTAAACCCTCCAGGTTCGTACTCGGATAGTTCATAGGTCTTCATCCGTATTTCAACAGCGTAAAATTCTTGAACAAGGCTGGTGCGCATCATTTGTAATTATACTTTCTGTCCCCCAGTTTTCAAGCCACAGTACGTTATCCAATCTCGTTTTGGTTTATAAAGCAATTTCCAACTTCAAACAATTTAACACGAGTATTAATCCAGTATGGCTTCGAAGATTCCCTTCGCCGCCAACCATTTGAAGTTTAATCCCTAGGATTCTCCCATTCCTCGAGCCTCTTTATCAATTTTCCCCATCTGCTGTTGCTCCACTGCTCCACGCCCCGATTCTTCCATTCTTCTGGGGATACACATTTTATCCACATCAAATTGGATGCAATGTAGAAATCAGCGTGGCTAGGATTCGCGCCTCCAGCAATAAAATCAACGTTGGGTCCATTCTTCTCATAAATGGTAGCCAGGGTGTCGAATCCCTTCTCCAACTTCTTCCATTGTTCATCTCGCACAGGACCTTCAGGACTCAGTTCCTCTATTTTCTTTCCAAATACTTGCTCTCTGGTTTGACGGAAATAAGGCTTTGCGTGGTCATCCAAAATTGCGTAAACTAATGGGAGAACTGGCAAGAAAAAGTTGGGAAAGACAACGGTGTCAAAGAATGCCTCCACCGCAAACTCCAAGGCTCTGCCTGTTTTCGGGAGGACAGGGCGTTCTGGGAATTTCTCCTCAAGATATTCCGCGCATTGGATTGTACCGATGATGACGATATGCTCCGGTCCACTTTCGTCTTTAATAGCAGGGAGGGTGTAGAAGAGCTTCGAAGGATCGTCTCGCTTTTTCAATTTCGTCTTTCCCTCGCCTCCTGCTTTAATCAGAGTTTCCTCGATATCTGGGAAGGATACCCATACTGTTTTGTACGGAATGCGCTTATAGTTTAAGAGGTATCTTGGTGGTGGTTAATGAGCATGTAGGGTGTGAGATACTCGATATCTAGGTAAGTACCAACCTGACTTTCCATGTGTTGATACTCCTGCAGATTATTGTCTAGCTAGCGTCACCAGTAAATATATGCAGAATTCCATTAACGTACCATACTGGACTCGGCTTGAGAATTGAGGTGAGGTCAAATAAGGTGATCTTAGGTTCAGAGGACATGGTATCTTCAAGTTGTGGGTGCCTCAGCCCTGAAGTCCCAAGGTTTTATAGTAAGGCAGCTTCTATCATATCGCAATCGATCTAACTTGATGTAATATCATTTCATGAAAATCGTTCTGATAGGTTCGCTTAATCATTTAAATACCTTGGATAAATAATCTCGCTTCTCTTAAACAGTAGTTTGGCATGACCATTGCATGACCAGAGCTACAGACTTTAGATCAATTCCGAGTTTTGAACGCGAAAATTTAGGTCAAAGGTCGGTGAATGGACACGCATATATAGGTACCGGTGACCGAAGACCGTGCACACTAATTCCACCCAAGTATAAATAGTAACTTCTGACATAGAACTTTCCCCAAGCACTCGACAGCTCGGCAAATTGTCTTTGGATCTGCGATGCCTCTCAATTCGTGGGATCATATATAGTAATGAAGGCTTTTGAGCGTGTAAGAGTACGGAATCGCTTTGGGGCGTGGATATCCCCTCACGCTTGAGAGTATACGGCATAAACAGAGATGATGCTGATGGCTGTTTAAAAACAAGTGGGGACATCGATTTAATTGGGACGAAGGTTCGGCGTCCTGGCAAAGCATTTCACAGTATCTTAGGAATAAAAAAAGGTGTAATAAGG